AGGCCTATGCTTCATCACGCATGATACGGCCCGCTCTTCCCTCCTGCCCGGGTACGTACCATCTCTCCGGGGAGACCTGGGACACCGGGCGTCCCGGCCTCGCCAGGCATTCCCTCGTGACCCGGCAGACCGACAGGTCCTGTCATGCCGACGGGACCTCGGTGACCCTTGTCACCAGGTATACCTGAAAAGTAAATTGGTTCGCCATTAAGGAATGCTTCCTTTGAGTCCATGTATATATTCGACCTTATTGCCATTCCTCGCATTCACAACGGTCTCGCTCTGAGCCGAACCGCCCGAGAGCGGCCCGGCGACTCACCTGGCAGGCCGCGCAGGCCCGGCTCGCCCTTGGACCCCGGGATGCCCGACAGACCTCGCTCGCCGTCGCGCCCCGGCCGCCCGCGGCGCCCCATGCGGCCAGCCATGCCCATGTTGCCCCGCAAGCCTCGAGGACCCTGGGGGGATATTTTGATAATTTTGGGCTTCCTCTCTCTCTCTCTCTCTCTCTCTCTCTCTCTCTCTCTCTCTCTCTCTCTCTCTCTCTCTCTCTCTCTCTCTCTCTCTCTCTCTCTCCCTCTCTCTCTCTCTCTCTCTCTCTCTCTCTCTCTCTCTCTCTCTCTCTCTCTCTCTCTCTCTCTCTCTCTCTCTCTCTCTTCCTTCCTTCTCTCTCTCTCTCTCACTCTCACTCTCTCTTTCTCTCTCTCTCTTTCCTCTTTTTTTCTCTCTCTCTCCTCTCTCCATCTCTCTCCCTTCTCCTTATCTATCTATCTATTTTTATCTATTTATGTGTATCTCTCTCTCTCTCTCTCTCTCTCTCTCTCTCTCTCTCTCTCTCTCTCTCTCTATATATATATATATATATATATATATATATATATATATATATATATATATATATATATATATTCTCTCTTATTCTTTTTCTCTCCCCCCTCAATATGTATATATATATAATATACATATATATATATATATATATATATATATATATATATATATATATATATATATATATATATATATATATATAATATGTATGTATGTATGTATTTCTTGATGTCCCTCTCTCTCTCTCTCTCTCTATCTATCTATCTATCTATCTATTTCTCTATCTATCTCTCTCTCCCTCCCCCTCCCTCCCAGCCCACTGCTCATTCCACTCACCGGTTCTCCGACCTCCCCGGGCTCGCCCTTGTACCCGGTCTCACCAGGCGGGCCCTCGGGACCCGGCAGCCCCGTGAGGCCCATGGGGCCGTCGGCGCCGCGCATGGCATCCATGTGCTGCGACAGCATGCTCTGCAGCTGCTGCACCATGGCGTCCGGTCCCTTGTTGTTGGCGTCGATGTTGAGCTGCGGAGGAAGGGCCGTTACGAGGCAGCCATGGTTCTCGCACGTCGCTGTTATCTTTTGCTCCGATTGGAAAGGTCAACTTAAGAACAAACAGCCATTAACTGAGGAGCAATATTACGAAAAACTCGGAATCCCTTACTCACCGGGATCATGAACACGTGACCGGGCGGCCCTGAGACGCCGTCAGTGCCCGGGATTCCGTCGCGGCCTGGGTCGCCCTTGGGCCCCATGGGTCCCGGGGGGCCCTGGGGTCCTGGGTGGCCCCGCAGGATGCGCGGCGGAGGGTACTCCAGCCCGCTGGTGTCCAAACCCTGACGGCAGGTTGAAAAAGGGATGAAGGTCATGGCCACGTGAAGAAAGGTAGAACATTAATGAATGATAAGAACTAAATTCTGTATAACATGATTAAGAAACAAACGAATCCTGCGGTGGAAATGCGAATGACTGATAAGTAATGACAATAAAGCCCTGAGATTATACATTATTTTTTTCTTTGCTCCGTTTTCTCCCTTTTCCCTTCCTAAGACATCCACCCTCACCCAAGCACCTCTTCCTTCCCTTCCCGTCGTTTGGCTCCCTTTCATTCCTCCTTCGTGGTGGTGTTATTAGCCTTTCTGTTTCTCTTTCTTGTTCGTACATGCTTAAAAAGTCCCTTCCTTTCTCTATCTCTTCTAGTACCCCCTCTTCCTATCCTCTCTCCCTTACCGCCCGTCTCTTTTTCTCCCTCCTCTTCTTTCCCCTCTTCCCATCCTACCTACCTCCTGTCTACTCTCTTTCTCTCCCTTACCGCAGACCCCCCCCCCCTCCTTCCTCCCTCCTCTCCCTTTTCTCTCTCTCTCTATTACCGTTCCCCCCTCCCTCTTCCTCTCCCCTTCCCTCTGTCCCTCCCTTACCGTGACGTTGTCCGCAACGAATTCCTCCTCGTTGTAGACCAGCTGTTCTTCGGTCCTGTCCACGTACTCGAACTGCGTCTGGCCGGCGCTGAGCGAGGCTGGCAGCTCCCAGTCGCATTCGGGCATGTAGTAGTCGCAGTGCTCGTAGGCGGCCTCCGGGCCCGACACGATGTCCAGCTGTTGGATGTCGCCCTGCGGGAGGAAGGGGCGAGTCACTGGAGAGGTAGGGTTGAGTCAGTGTTGGAACTGGAGCGACTGCTTAGCGCAACGGGAGCTGAATCAGTAGGGAGTGGGAGTGAGTCAGAGCGGGAATTGAGTTGCCGTTGAAGAAGATCGGGAGAAGAATGGCGACCACTGCAATTTTCACAAGGCAAAGTATCAAACAGACGATTCGACATTGCCACCTTAATCTGCTTTAGAATAATACCGAAAAGTCGATGCCATACTTCACCTCGAGAAAATCGCCCTCCACTGCGGTTCAGGTGAATGGGGAGAACATTGCGATAGGAAATGAATGGGGTGAGGGGAAAACCTGCCCTTTCGCGAGGGGAAAGGAGGGAGAAAGACGTAGACTTAGTGAGTAGGAGGGGGAATGGGTTAGAGCGAACGTCTCAATAATGATTAATGATTAATGACAGTGATTCATGGAAAAACAGGTTATTATTGGATATCAAGAGAAAATTTACAGCAAGATGAATTGGGGAAAATAGAAAAACGGAATATAAGCAAGGCTGAATTCGAAGTAATGAGAAAGCATAGAAAAAAATGACAAACTTTTCTAAACATTCGTTGACGCTGATCATACGATAGATTGAAATTAAAATTAGGAGTAACTTGCTATCTGTAATGCATTCTTTTTAAATACTGGTAAATCTGAATTGGCGGATGAGAAGTTCTACGCAAATTGTAAAGTGAAATCAATAATGAGATCTTGAGGGAGGCAAAACTGTGTGTGTGTGTGTGTGTGTGTATATATGTGTGTGTCTATATATATATATATATATATATATATATATATATATATATATATATATATATATATATATATATATATATATATATATATATATATATATATATATATATATATATATATATATATATATATATATATATATATATATATATATATATATATATATATAGTATATATATACATATATATATATATAAATATACATAAATATACTTATATATACATATATATACATATATATACATATATATATATATATATACATATATATATATATATATATATATATATATATATATATATATATATATATATATATATACATATATATATATATATATATATATATATATATATATATATATATATATATATATATATATAGGTATATATATATAGAGAGAGAGAGATAGGTAGATAGATTTATATTCATGCATGTCTGTCTGTGCAGCGGCGGCGGCCTCGACCCTCGCGTGGCCGGCGCTTCCTCGGCGGCCACTTACGGCGAAGTACTTCTCCTCGAGGAGCTGTTGGCCGAGGAGGATGATGCCGGCGTTGGACACGTGCGACGGCGACGGGCGGCGGAGGAGCAGGGTGGTGTTGGTCTCGCAGTCCACCAGGAGAGTGATGCTGTTTCCCTTCACGCTGAGCCCGAGGCGATGCCACCTGCGGGCGGGGCGCGGGCGTTAGGGGCTTTCAAGGCTTTTTTCAAGGGTGACAGACTCATCTTTGAACTGCATTGCAAACATACTAATAATAGTAGAAGTGAGTGCAATGGAAGGCAGTCAGGATATGAGTGGGCTAGAAAATATTAACGTTTGAATCCACACAAGTGATCCCTTCGCCCTCCCACCCCCTCGCCCTCCCCCTCGCCCTCCCCCCTCGCCTCCCCCCCTCGCCCTCCTCTCGTTCTCCCGCCAAATGTCCGTCCCTCATCACCCCTCCCCCCTCCTCCAGGTGTACTTACTTCCCGTCGTTGATCGCGACGCCGAACTCCAGGTCGTTGCCTCCCTTGGGCTTCCCCTCCTCGTCCTGGTAGAAGAGCTTGACGGTGTCGCCCACCTCCACCAGGAGCTGGTCGTCGCCGGCGTCCGAGTACAAGCCGAACAGCACGGAGCTCGAGCCTTGGTCGGGTCTCAGGGTGGCCATGATGCTAAAGTCTTCGGGAAATTGGTCTGTTTTTCGGCGAGGGAGACGGAGAGAGCACAAGGGACATTAGCTACTGCAACAGAAGCAGTTGGCTGCAATGATAGTGATAAGATCAAGGAAAGAGGACCAGAGGCACAGAACAAGGAAATCAAAGAAAAATGCTCTTGCAGTGATTGCGCCGAACATCAAAAGTCTCAGCTCACATTGTGAGGAGTCGGCGTTTACAAATGTCCTGAATATATTTCGACGGACTCTTTCTACCTAAAATTTTCTTTTAAACCGAGGGAGCGGAAAAGTGGCCTCGGAAAATAACAATTTTGCGTCACATCAAGGATCTAACACAGTGAATAAAAAAAAAAAAAAAAAAAAAAAAACGAAGGTTCAGAAGAAATACGCGTGAAGAAAAGGCGATAAAGAGCAGTAAGGAACAAAACAATAATAATAATAAAGAACTCAAAAGGGATTCTGACCTTTAAAGAGCTGCGCCGTCGGGACGGTGAGGACAGTCTGCTTGGTGACCTTGAAGGCGGTGTCGGGGCCCTGACCTGCACGGTCGTCGCACATCCCCCGGGTCTGCTCCACGCCCATCGGCTGCTGAGCCACGCCCAGCGCCTCCAACAGACTGCCCCCCG